GGAGCATGCTCTTTAGAGTCTATAAGTGGGCAGGGCCATGAGCTTCCCCAGGGCAGGGCCATGTCCTCTCTCTCTCTCTCTCTCTCTCTCTCTCTGGTGCCTATCACAAGTTCAGGCACAGAGACAGCAACGGCCAACAGAATGAGTCTCACTTCAGCATCTTGCACTCATTGCATTTTTCAGAGATGCATTTTTTTCTTTGTATGATCTGGGGGCACCTGTTTTCTTGCTGGTCGATTGAGGCTGTCACTCAAGCTGTGTCTTCCAATAAGTGGCACACACTGTAAAACATCAGCAGGTTTCCCTCTGACCACCAGGACGTCCAAAGGGAAGATCATCAGAATTTGTGACAATGAGTCAACCATATCCAAATAATATTAAAGCCGGAAGGGGCTGCAAATTAATAAACCCTTCTTGTGTGAGCTGGCAGCTGGGTGTTCTTCTCTGCTCCTGTCTGGGTTTGCACATGACCAGCTGAAGGCTCGAGGGATTTGCATTTAGCAGATCATGAGTAAAAATCCCATTAAAATGACATCCTCCTCATCATTAGGATCCTGTTAGTGAGGTGCACTGGATTGTCAGGATATTTCCTGGAGCTGCTTGATAATGGACTTACCAATGCAGTCTGTCCACCCTGGCAAAGGCTTTCTGAGGTGTGGGGCAGAGGGGTGCGTTGCTGGGAGCCCGCAGCTCCTCTGTGGCAACTGCCTCCCTCCCCAGACACACACCTGAAGAGCTCTGTGCATATCATACCCTGGTTTCGATGCCCCTGAGAAACATCTGCCGAGTGCTTGAGCTCCTGGCCTGGCCATGGAGGAAAGAAAGGGGAGCCCCTGGTTCTAACGCAGCCTCTGCCACTGGCTCTATTGAATACCTGGCCTGAGCTATATTTACTTAAATTTGATAAATTTTATGAATATCATACTAACATTATTCACATTTCCCCATCCCTAAATTCTCCTTGAATGACAAAGTTCTTCAACTATAGTCCATTTTTCTGGGGATAAAGTGCCAACTCAATAACATGATATGAAAAGCCTCTTGGGATTTAACTGACACCTGCTCCTCTAAATATGCATCCTAATACCTGCCAAAGAATTCCCTTTCTGCCCCATCCCTGTGGTCTGCCACACTGGAAACCTCCAGTCTCCTGAAGCTAGATGTGCTGCTTACATTTCTGTCATCTTGGCTGCCTGGCTCCCTATCACCGAGTCCTTGGCACTGTGTTCAGGCAATGTCTCCTCTCAGTGGCTTTTCCAGGCCCTTATTTCCAGGTCCATGTCAGGTGTCTCTAGAATGAGCTCCCACAGACTCCCTACACCTGGTCCCTTGCCTTCTGCCCCAGCACATATCGCATAGGATGTAAACTGTTTCTGTGTTTGCCCCATGATCATGGGTACTTGTATACAGTAGGGGCTTCTGTTTTAGCAGGTGACCCCTCGTACCCAGCACAGAGCCAGGTACATAGTTTGTGTTCAGCATAAACTGCTGAATAAACAAATAGATGAAGCCCTGTTAGGTATTAGAACATTTATTATGCTTCTGGGTGGGTCAGGAATTTGAATACACATAATAGAATAGACTGGCTTGAATCCTTTCTGGCCAAGGCCAGAAAGTTCTGCGAAAATTACAGAGCCACTGGCTGGCAAATCCAGTAAAATCTTTGGAATTAGATATTAAGATAAAGGCTAAGCAACGTTTGAGATCCACAGAGTAAAAAATGGCAAAATTTTATAATTTTAAAATGCTCCATAAAATGAATCAAAAGATCTTCTTTTTTTTAAAAATTTATTTATGATAGTCACAGAGACAGAGAGAGGCAGAGACACAGGCAGAGGGAGAAGCAGGCTCCATGCACCGGAAGCCCGACGTGGGATTCGATCCCAGGTCTCCAGGATCGCGCCCTGGGCCAAAGGCAGGCGCCAAACCGCTGCGCCACCCAGGGATCCCGAAAAGATCGATTAATCACCAGGAGGTTTTAAAAGGCCTCTGGAGTTTTCTTCTCTCTTTCCCTCTCTCCCTCCCACATGTCATCTCTCCCTTCTTTTGATCTTCACATCCATTGGCAGTTATGCAAACATTTACTGGGCACCAACTGTGTGCTCAGGGCTCTAATACGCACTAGGAACTGGAGAGAGTAAAATTCAATACTGCCCTCTCAGAGCTCAGCGCAAAGTGATCAGAAAGGCAGGATAAGTGGGCTACTGGGGTACAGTAAGCATTGGGATGGAGTTCTATATGGAGTCTGGGGAGCACTGGGGGGAGGTAAGCTACTCAGGGAGGTGACCCAGGGTGGCTTCCTGGGGAGGAGACGTTATCAAGTGTGTACATTTCTGAATACCAAGTGATTTACATCCAAGAAGCTTCTGGAAGGCTCTGTCTACACAACTGAGTAAGGGTTCTCAGGAGGTCTGTGGCTTGGTCTATGTGTACCACTGGATTGCTAGTATGCGTGTGGCGGAGGTTTCCTATATCCTACCCACTGTGTCTCCTTTCAAAGGGGCTGGGGCTTCTGATCACCAATAAGTAGCCTTTAAGTTTTTTTAATGTTAATTTTTAAAGTAAAGAATGTTATGGACTGAATTGTGTTCCCCTCCCCAAATTTATACATTGAAGCATTTACCCCCCAGTGTGACTGTAGAAACAGGAGGTCATAGGGTGGGGCCCTAATCCCATAGGGCCTTATAAGAAGAGGAACAGGTAGGTATCCTAGCATGCAAGCTCTCACTCATTCTCTCTCTCTCTGTCTGCCAGTGAGAAGGCGGCTGTCTGCAGGCCAGGAGGAGGGCCCTCACTGGAGAACTGAATCAGCTGGCACCTTGATCTTGGATGGACTTCCCAGCCCGGAACTGTGAGAAATCAATGGGCTGTGATACTTTGTTATGGTGGCCCCAGCCGACTAAGACAAGGAGAAGACAAAGTTTGAGCAAAGCAAAGATCTGACACAGTTTCATGGAGTTTCATTAAGACTATAAACCTTTTTCATCTCAGTGATAATGCTGATCCTTAAAACTGAGACGTGAAAACATTTTAAATTAGCAAGCTCACCAAAGAGCAGGATAGCATAATGGAAAGGGCAGGTCCAGGCTGCAGTTCACCGTGTGACCTTGGGTAGGTCACGAGACCATGGTCCCCTGCCTCATTTCATCCACCGGGCGGGCCCGGGGCAGACGTGAGAGTGAGCCTGGTTACAGAGCCGATGCCGATGAATGAGATCGGAGTAATCTGGAAAGTGTTCAGTGAGCCTCAGCCCCTCCTTAAATTCACCACTTTGGGAACAGATTTCAGAATTCCTAGAGTCATTATATCTTTTTCTATAGAGCCAGAATTCCTTCCTCACCTATTTTTAACTCCAAACCCTGTGACTTCATTTGCCTGTATCAGTACTTCTCAATCCCATCTTAGCAAATGCTGCAGGGCATCTGTAATTATCCTGGCCAGTACAGCAGTGTTCTTATTAAAACCCCTCACAATATGGAATTTATTTTAATTCATCTCAATTCGTATTATGTATTTAAATATATCCCATATAAGCCATATGGCACGTTAGAAGGTAGCTGAGAGGTTGCCGGGAAATCAAATAAGCAATGTCAAGCTTTCACCATTTCTGCAATACCCAGAATTCCTAATTCAGAGGAACATATACCAATCCAGATGCCATATTTGCAAAACCCCGGGATCCAGCAGGATGGGATTTACTGGGAATAGATCAGGCAATTGCCACTGGGCTTCCTCAAACATCTTTCCATCAGCTTGGCATCCTTGACCTTGTCACGTTGCCTGAAGTTCCAGCATTGAGAGATTCCCTGAGGTTAATGAATCTAGTGTTTAAAGAGCATATGTCTGTGCTTCTGTGTGGATGAAAGGGGGCAGCTATCATTCTGATCTCAATGTAAATGAGTTCCTTCTGGAACGCTTCCTAGTAACACTCTCTGAAACCAGCCCTACTGGGGCCTGGGGAGATGCCCATAAGAAAGAGAGAGAAGGAAAAGGATTCTGGAACATTCAGCTCTACACAAGGTGATGCAGGTAGCACACACCGTAAGTTTTAGGGGGAGGAAAGAAGCCTGAGGTCCCCAGAAGCACGCAGAATATGGGTGGGGTACCAGACAGTAAGACCGCAATTTGAATGAGCATCATCTCACCAGCTTCATTAAGCAGACTCGTTCTTCAGTCTCCTTGCCTGTCTGCTGGCCTTCTCCCCCTGGATAGCTGACAACCATTTTTAAAAATTCACATGTGCCTTCCCCTCTACCCCCGCAGTTCAAGTCTAAGTGAAGGCCAACTCTAGGCCTGCTGCAAAGACACTTCCTCAGTGGCACGGCCACCCAGAGAAGTGACGGCCACCTTCATAATCACAGCCCTGCACAGCCCTTGGAAACAGACACTTCAAAGCTTTTCGCTCAGAGCAGACACTTCATTTGTCATTGACAAATACGACACAAGTAGTGACCTTTGTGATCACAAGTCAGGAGGCTCTGGTGTAAGTCATAGACTTTTGCACTTCAGAAAAGAATGTGCACCGCTCGCAGTGCACTGTGACACTGTTTACTTACAGGTCCTCAGCTCCCGCCACCCCCCTTGTTTTCAGCCTGGCAAGGCTGCACCATCACCCAAAGGAGATGACAAAGCATCAAAGAGGAGACACGGGCACTTATGCTATAAAGATGGGCTAACAAAGATCACAAACTGGGCCTGGGGATCAAGAGAACCAGCTTCCCAGGAGGTCAACGTGGAGCAAATGGACAAGATTCATGTATTGGCAGGTCCACCACCTGGCAGGGGTCCCGGCTGGGAAGTGTGGCCTTCCCACCCCCAGCTGGTCTTTAGGGCGGCAGTTTTTATCTTGACTTTAAGATGCTGTGTGGCTCCCTGAGCTGATGTTTCCCAAACTCAGCAGCGAACAGAACTTTGACGTGCCTCCTCTCTGTCATCACTGGGGCACACCTACCACCCCACAAAGGGGTGGGCTGGGGTGAGGGGTGAGGTGAGTGCCATACCTGGTCCAGCTTCCAGTGGAACTCTGCGGGGCGGAAGGTGTCCGCCTGGTCGAAGTCCTTGCGCAAGAGGAAGACGAGGCGGCAGTTGTGCACGTACAGGGCGTAGTGATGCCGATTCATTTCTGAAAAGCAGAAAGAGGAGCGGAGTGGTTATAGTATCCCTGCATCAGTCTCTGCCAGGGGAGTCTTCCCGCGACATCACTGAGCACACCCTCCAGGGGGAAAGGGATGGGCATGGCAGTTTCCCCTTTTATTATCAGATGTAATGAATGTTCTAGAACATGCATGGGGGAGCTCACTGAAAGGGAAGAGGAAGATTCAAGAAAACCCACAGCAAAACTTCCGCAGAGAAGCCATTTGGACTTTAAATACCAGCCTGACTTGTACTCAGATACCGCATCGGGCCCAGGATAAAAATTATGTAGCGTTAATGAGTTTTGTTTTGTTTTGTTTGTACAGATACTTCTGGGAGGGTTAAGGGGGCTCTCTGACAGTCACGTCAGCTACCCCGGGCTCCTTTAACACAGCTGGTTCCTCCTAGAGTGCTGGCCTTTTGTTTCATTTCATCAGGCTTGACAATGGTGACCACAGAGCAGGTCTCCTTCTCGACCTTATTGTGTGCAGTTGGAGGAAGCGGCTCCATTTGTAGTTGCTAGGAGGAGGGGGAGGTTGATTTTTCAGCATTAGTCATAGTTCTGTGTCTTTAAAAGCAATGAATAAATACCTCTCTCCCCATACACAATGGATGGGATGTTTCCCCCCTCTGATACCAAGACTTCCTTTTCTGCTTAGGGAATCTCACATCGTGGGTCCCAGCCATGAAGTCCTGCAGCCACAAGATAACAGCTACTGGCAGGGAGGAGCTGTTCTTTGACCAATACTCAGAGAACTCACATCTATACTACATAGTGGCATACACGAAATCTACTACAAGGCGCATGCTCCATAAATGACAGATGGATGAGCAGGTGATGTGCCCTTGTAGAAAGAACATGGGCCCTAGCAGTCAGACAGGCTTTGGGTGGAGTTGTATCTCTCCATGGTTCTGGGAGAATTCTTTAGTCTCTTAGAGCCTCAGTTTCCATACCTATGGAAACATCCCATGACAGGGATGCCGGATTATCCTAATGAATCATGGGAATAGGACAGGGAGATTGATTTTTGTGTATCCTGTATAAACCTTGAGGTGTGAGTGTGAGGAATCAATACCAATCCCTGGGCTCTGGTTGGCCTCCCTGCCATGGTGATTGGTTCAGGGCCCAGGCCCAAGTCTCGCAATGCAGGTCATTCTCTTGGCCACAGGCCTTCTCTCAGGAAAGCGATTCAGTTCAAGCCAGTGATTCAGGAGCTTTCCTGAGTGAGTCCAAAAAAAACCTCTCTTTTATCAGAAAGAAAATAGAAGAGATGTTCTCTCTCTAGAAGTTGTAGTATATAACCAGGATGCATGGAGCTGCTGCAACCCTATTTGCTAATAACATGAAATCGATACATATATGGGGGCAGATCTGAGAAATTGCAGAGAAAAGGGCCAAGCCCTTGATCATATTTTGCCTGAAGCTGTCATAGCTCTGGACATTTTCAGTTACAAAAACTCTAACTTCTCTTTATTATTTTGATTTCGTGGATCATCTGATATCAGCTTGATCTATATTTCCTGTTTCTTATAACTGAAAGCATCTTAATTGATACAGTGAGGAAGTATGTGCAAAGCGGTTGCCAGTGTGGCAGGGTTGGCCTGGGCCAATGTCTGGGTGGCCACTCAGCCTTGGGCCTGATAAAATGCCCAAGTCTTGATTATAGGGATTTTATCAAATATTTCTTGTTCCCCTCACAATTGCTCAACTGATTTCCATTATCTATTATATATTGTCAGAAAAATATAGAAAGAAGGACTTTTCCCCCCTTATTTTTATTTGGAGTCAGGAGAGATTGTGAGTGAGGAAGTGGAATGAGAGGAATGAATGGAGGTCTGGAGCATCTTCTAGCTTAGGAAATTTCTCCCTCCCTCTCCCTCTGTTAATCTGGATTCCTGGAGTCACCACCCACAGTGGGGTCACTGGTTTATTTAGTGGGCTAGGGACAGGGTACACTCAGAAATCCGCTTCATTTCTTTTCATGACCCTTGTGTTCTTTGGAGTACTTAAATGTTTAACAAAAAGAAGCCAGATAAATGAAATAATAAAGCCCCATGACACAATCTTGGATTGTTATGTAATTCATATCTTTAAAGAATATTTTATCACGAAGAGAAATGATCTGGATATTTTGTTACATAAAAGAAACAGGGAACATAATGGTATCACATGCATTATAAAAATAGTGAGAATTGTTAAGGACATTCTACATATACATAGAAATAAAAATGAGATTTTATTTGGTAATGAAACATGCCAAATGTAATCAGAAAATATCTTTAGGTATTAGGGCTTTAGGGGATTGGTGTATTCTCCTTTATACTCTGTGTTTTTCAGGTTATCTGATATAAACATGTCTTGAAAAGATGTTTCTGATATATAAAAGCCTAATAAAGCCTTAGTTTATTCCTGATATTTTTTAAATTTAGGGCAAGAAGGTGTTACAGATTTATTTTTTTTAGTCAAAGAAGTTAGAGGAACCTTCCCCATCTTCTTTGTGCTGGGGCTGAGCTGCTTACAAGGTGTGGCTCTGTGCCATGACCACAGTGGAAAAGCGCCAGGTAAGCTGCCTCCAGGTGCTGACATGCCTGTGGGGTAGACTGCTTGGGTGACAATGAGGCATCATCATGTAAGGTGGTGGGTTAAGCCAGAGCTGCACAAAAAGTCCCCTAAAAACTCCGACTTCCTGCATTGGGGTGGGGCCCTGGCATGTTTGCTTTTTTACAAGCCTGCCAGGGTTTTCTGCTGTGTAGCATGGCTGAGAACCACTGGTCATCAGAGCATGGGTCTGGATCCTGGGCCCAGAGGACCCGATCCAATCTTGTTTCTCTGGGTAATTGGCTGTGTTCCCGGGGCCAGCCACTCCACCTTTCATATTTTAACTTCCTCTTCTGTAAGCAAGAACATTCATATCTGTGTGATCTGCCTCCCAGGGGTATGTGACACATTGCAGAAAGGACTCTATGTATCTGGCCTTGAACCCCAGCCCATGCTGCTTTGCCTTGGTATGTTCAGTCCGAAGCCATTTTCTCATTGATGCAGGCCCCTGGATTACGATGGGAGCACCTTGCAAGGCGCTGCAAGTACCGGGCTGCGGGGTGATTCCTGAGATTGTGACCTGGACGATCACTGAGCTCTGAACCCAGTCCCAAACCTCTGTGTGATCTCATGCATGTCTGCAGGGTCCTTCCTGAATGAAGGTCCCAGAAAAACTGACCTTGTCATAACCGTTCCGACAGACTTACTTATGTCTAGGGAAAGCTGGGCAACTTTCTCAGTTTCTACATCTGAAAAAATGTGCTAACATAGATTGTAAGGAGTGATTGCAATTGAAAATGTGGAGTCCTAGGAATAGCATAATGTGGAATAAAACCAGAAGTAATATGATAGTGACACCATCAAGTAAATAAACTGAGCACTGATTTTATATCTGATGCTGAGTGATTTCACACATTATTTCATGTTTATTTCCCCCATTTTACATATGGGGGAACTGAGGCTCAGAGACATTAGCTACTCCTCAAAGATCACACCTGAGAGTGAAAAGGCTGAGAAATGAACTTTGGGTGTCTAGCAGCAGAGGCTGAGCTGTGAGCCACTCTATCCTGTCTTCTCACTGCAGTATCTGCTGGGGATATTATTTATTTTGTGTATTTTTTTAAATTTTTATTTATTTATGACAGAGAGAGAGAGAGAGAGAGAGAGAGAGAGAGAGGCAGAGACATAGGCAGAGGGAGAAGCAGGCTCCATGCACCGGGAGCCCGACATGGGATTCGATCCCGGGTCTCCAGGATCACGCCCTGGGCCAGGCAGGTGCAAAACTGCTGCGCCACCCAGGGATCCCTATTTTGGGTATTTTTAAGAAAAGTAGAGCTTGAAATAGGAAATTGCAGAATTATAATTTAAGATAGAATTGTAAAATTTGTATATATATCTAAATATTTGTGGGTATGTATGTGCTCGTGTGTGTGTGTGTGTGTGCACGGGCACATGTGTATGCCTGCATGTGTGTGTGTGTGTGTGTGTGTGTGTGTGTGCATGTGGGGTGTGGTGACAAGTGCGCAGGATTGGAGTTAGCTGGATCTGAGCTTGCGTTTCAGTTCTGATCCCTACTGGCTATATAACTTGGGACAAGTTATTAACCTCTCAGGGATGTTTCTTTATCCTTAAAATGAGAAGTACAACCATGCTTTCCTAAAATTGTAGAGATCTGAGAAACAGTCTAGAATAGTAATATCTAACGCAGATGGCACCTGCCCTGTGTCAGGCACGGTCCTAAAGCTCTACACGCGCATTAAGTCATCTAATCCTGATAAAAGCCCTGTGAGGTAGATTATATGTCCATTTTATAGAGGGGGGCAGTGAGGCACAGAGAAGTTAAACAACTTGCCCAGTATCACACAGCCAGTAAGTGGTGGATGCTTTGAACCCCCAAGCTGTGAACTGCCTTGTGCAGGCTCAGCATGGGGAAAACACCTAACGGAAGTTAGCTACCGGTATTATGTTTGGCAGTGATTTTGAAAATTACCATGACCCTTTCATTGAAAATAAACTTTTGGACATCTTACTACATACAGCATCGTGAAGGTAGAAGTGCTTTGAAGTAAGAATGAAGTCCCCCTGCCCCCCAACTCCCACCTCATGGGTCACAGCTCTAAGTTGCCTCTGGGGAGGCTGGGGTTCTAAAGAACCCAGTTTGAAAGCAACTAGTCCAAGATTTTGCATTCTTTGTGTCTGTGCCTCTTCCCTGGTCCTGCTCTACCCCAAGCCCAGAAAAACTCAGCAGCCAGAAGACCAGAGACAAGAGTATTTTCCCAGGATGCCATCATGCTCTTGCTTTTCACCCACATTGTCTGTGGCTGTGTCTGTGCCTAACCAGCTGGGATGTAACGGGCAGACTCACCAGTCTTGTCTGAGTTGCAGAGGATAGTTTCCTTCTCGGCTCTCACACCAGGGCTGGGGCCATGTTTCATCCACATGGTGATGGTGAACTGGTCTGTCAGGTTCTTGGGCACAATCCCATCAGGGATCTTGGCACCTTGTCTGCCATCAAACTTGAAGATCATCTCGCTGCTGTCCACGAGCAGTCCTGCTGTCCAATTGGTGGCAGCGCTAGGGGACGGCAAGAGGTCAATGATGCCAGAGGAGGCTCCTGCAGGGTAGGGGGGCCAGAAAGAACAAAGGGTTATTTATTTCTCACAGGGTGGGTGTCCTCACCTTCTGTTTTCTGCTCCCGGGTCAGGATGAACTGCTCAATGTATTTACTCAACAATCTCAGCCAACCTTCCATGAGGTGACTCCGGAAAAGAAGGGCCAAATGCCATCCCTGCCCCTGAATTCCTTATGGTCTTGCAGAGGTGAAGGCATCAGGAACCGACAGACAAAAGTGTTGCATGTGACACAACAAGGTGCAATGAGCATGGAGAAAGTACTGGAGGAATTTAGGGAAATGAGAACAGGGGGGCTGTTAGCAGGGAAGTTTCCTGAGCACAGAAGGCCAGATTTGGTGTGGATCAATGAATTCATTCATGCATTCATCCATCCATTAACCTATGAGCCATTTATTGAGTACGGACCATGTGCCAAGACCCCTGCTAGGCACTGGTGGTGTAGATGTGAATCAGTACAGTCCCTGAACCGAGGTAGCTCAGAGCCAACAAGTAGACAGACAGCTGTGACACAGTGTGATCAGGGCTGCGACTGGGGAGATTTCTAGGTCCTGTTGCCATGGGAAGGAGTGTGAGCCACTTTGTACTCACCACGCTTTTTTTTTTTTTTAACACAACCATTATGTTTAGACTGAATGGTATGGTGGTCAAGAACGTGGGTTCAGAGGTCTGCACACTTGATTTTGATGCCTTGCATGTCCCTTAGCTTTTCTGCCTCTCCAGCTCCTGCTGTGATGTCTCCCTTTCCAGTGGGCTGCAAGGACTGAAAAAGAGCCCTCGCTAGAGCCTGCAGCAGTATGCTGGCCATGTGGAGAATACTCACTCCATGTTACCTGTGACTTTATCCTTATTATTATAATTATTATTATTTCTGCTACCGTTATGATTCCAGGCTAAGGCACGAGGGCTAAGCTTGAAGTAGTGGGAGTGTCACAGGTAGATTCATGTCTTAGGAAGGTCACACCTACAGCTTTGTGGAGGACAGAGCCAAGGTGGGCAGGAGAGGGCAACCCCACAGAGAAGACTGGATGCATCAGTTCGGAGGACCCTTGGGCATCCTCTGACTTCCCTCGGAAGCTCAAGTACTGCCAGCAGAGCTTCCCACATCTTTATGTCCCATACAGGAGTAAGGACTTGGCTCTTTAGGGGAGGATAAGAGACAGGGGCTTCCCAATATTGTTAGGGAGCTAGGGTGTGGCTGGTGCAGGGAGCTAGGGTTCTCCCAGGATGGCACTGACCAGCCAGTCATAAATGGTGATGGGTTTAATAGACAGTGGTTGTGTGCATTACCTGATCTTTGTCAGAGGTCCCTGGATTTCCGAATTCTGTATATCAGAGTCTTACCTCACCTAGCATTTGGGTTCCAAAGTCAGCTACCACAAATATCTGCAGTTAATATCTACCCTTGAGAATCCTTCAGGAGGGTGCCATATTGAAAACCAATATACTTCTTTGAAAATACTCAACCAGCTAGTTTTCCCTTTAGCCTTGGAGCAGATGATCAAGTCTAGAGTTCAGCATCCATTGGTTTGCAATAGAAAGTTGTGCTATGTGAAAAATAAGTATCCTTAGAGCTAGTTGCCTTGTTTAGTGCTGTGAAAGGCTTGCCCTGGGAGAGGCCTCCAGGAACTGTGGCATCTGGGAGGCCAGGAGATTCTGGTCTGTCAATTCATGATCACCCTACAGCATATGCTTATCAAAGGGAAATGGGAGTGGTGTTGACTGCATTATTTAGATATGTATGTCCTAGGAGTTTTGGGTTGGTGTCACGCCTGATACATAGGAGGCAGTCCATTAACATTTCTATTTTATTTTTATTTTATTTTATTTTTTATTTATGATAGTCACACACACACACACACACACACACACACACACACACACACACAGAGGCAGAGACATAGGCAGAGGGAGAGGCAGGCTCCATGCACCGGGAGCCCGACGTGGGATTCGATCCTGGGTCTCCAGGATCACGCCCTGGGCCAAAGGCAGGCCCTAAACCGCTGCGCCACCCAGGGATCCCACTCCATTAACATTTCTAAGTGTCCTTCCTCCCACCCAGTGCCTCCATGAGATACTTGTAGCCATCTACCCGATGCTCAGGTGAGCTTGCCCATGAAGCCTCCTGTCCATGCCCCACACCTCTCACCAATAGTTATTTGTTCTCATCCCATACCCCTGCAGCCTTGTCTAATATCCATTTTATTTATCTGATAAGCTGATTCACACTAATATTTCAATGACTAACAAAGCTTTAAGGGTTATCACCCTCCAGAGGTATCTGAAAGAAAGAAATCTATCTAGGTGGTAGTAGGTAGAGATTTGGGAGTGGTTTAAGGGTGGGAGATTTGTGGTGTTTTGCAGCAAATTCATTTTCTAGGAACCCCCAGCATAATGCAATTGGTTCTTTGACCCATTGGTAAATTGACTCTGACACCAGGAGTTGTGTGTCAGGCTCCGAAATTTCAGGTAGTCAGAGAGGTGCAGGCTAAGTGCTCAGGACTCCTGATGGCCAGCTCACGCCAAGGAAGCCAATGCAGTCTAGCAGAGCCAGAGCAAAGGTGTGTGTCTGATGACTGCCAGAGCTAGCTTTGCCACCAATACCATTATTATTTTCCTAGGAACCAGTTTTGGGGCACTGAGCACCAGACCTGAATTAAGTACTACAATGCTTTTTCTTAGTTACTCATCTACGTGGTGAATACTATTGTGATTCCTGGCTACAGGTCATAACCTGAGGCTCAGTGAGACCAGGATCACAACTAGCTAGTAAGTGGGCCCATCTGCAAGGCTTTGCAGATCCAAAGCCCATGCCCCCCACTGCACCACTTCAGTGAACCTGGAGTGAGATCTTGTAACCTCCTCCACATTTTACAAATGGGAACCAAAGCCCAGAGAAGGGAAATGTCTTGATCAAGGTCACACAGCCACACAGCTAGGCAGGCCCAGCTCCCAGAGACCCAGCTGATATTCATCCTACCACACAGTACGGTATCTTGCCAAGCACACAGCACAATCCCCTGGGATCCCAACTCCCTACACAGATGGCTGTCTGCAGAGAGGCAGACTGAAGACAGCATGTGCCCTGGTAAGGCCACAGATGCAGACTTCCCGGATTCCATGGTGTGGGGAGCAGCAGGCCACCCTGCCTAACCCACAGATGTTGCCTACCAGAAAGCAACAAGCTGTAAGTAGCCAGATGGTACAGACTTCCCCAGCTTAACAGCTTATATTTCATTTCTCGGTGCACTTACACAAACTGAGATTTACTTTCTCCCAAAGTTCCTCTCTCTCTCTGTCTCCTCTCCTCAAGGGAACTCATGGAAGGCTGTGGGTAAATAGGACACATCACTTGCAAAGATGGTGCGGCATGGTCTGCACACAGGGTGTATTTAAGAAGCTCCTTGGGAATCCTCTGTGAAGGTCCCTGGGAACCCAATCAAGACTCTCATGCTTAGAGTCCATGCTGGTCTGGTGCACAGCAGTTGCAGCTTGAGTGTGTGTGTGTGTGTGGGGGGGATTTGGGACCAGAGTTGAGGTATGATTCAAGGTCCCTGAGCTCTAGCCTGGGGAAGCCTCTCTGAGCCAGCAAATAGAGAAAGAGGGGGTAAATGAGGCAGATTTCAGGACACATTGTGGTATGAATGCATAAATGGAACCTGGGGACACTGAACTTTTTTTTTTTTTTTTGACACTGAACTTCTTAACTGCAGGGTTTGCATTCTGCTCTGGGTTGGCTTTGTTCAGGATAGAGTGTCTGTAGCACTTCGAGGTGTGGCAATGATGATTGATATGGAAGCTCAGGTCATGCCTCCTCATGGTCCACCACAGGGCAAGAATAAGTGGGAGGGTCTTAGGGGAAGCTATTATAACCAAAGACACAGGCCTCATTCTGTGGAGTATTCTCACAATTGCAATATCAACTCCCTATTATTTCAGTAAATATTTATGTAATGTCTAGGTTATGCCAGGCACTGTGGTGAGAAGGCAGCAATGAACCAAACAGAAGTTGGTCCTACCTTTAGGGACACAGTAAACCTTTGGTGGGTGGAACAGGTCAGCGGGAGAGACTAGCAGGGGAGGACAGCAAAGCCCCCTTGACAAACGTTGTACTAGAACTGCATGGCTGTAGAATGCATTCTGCTCTCAACACGCATCTCTGACCCACTGATGGCACTTAGACATGTGACTTGCTCTGACCAATAAAATGTGAGTGCAAGTGACACATCATACCAGGGCAGAAGCTTTAAGAGCCAATTCATGGTTTTCCATGTGTCTTTTCCATGTGCCATGAGATCCACGGTGCTCTAAATAAAGGCTGTTTGTTAGCCTAGATCCCGGTGGGAAGCCACATGGAAGAGAGCCACAGCCCATCCAAGAAGGACATGCGATGGGAATGATAAATGAACTTTTGCTGTTTTGAGCCAATGAGACATTACGGTCATTTGTGATTGCAGTATCCTGCTATCCTGATAATCCACATAAGTGACTGACATCATTGGCTATGATTCCCATTTCTTCTTTGGCATGCCTTCAGCATGGACAGGGAGTACTTTCTGATGTCCTTTCAGGAGCTCACATGCTGTTGACTCTATAATCCGAGCTTCATTCCACCTTTGGAATCCTAGACAGGAAGGGTTCCCGCACGGCCTTGCAATTGGGAACTTGGGTCTTCAGGTGGAACAGGCTGGGCTCTGGCGGAGGGGTGGTCAGTCAGGCTCCTGGAGCAGGGCCATGGATACCCAGTTGCTGACCAGCTCGGGCAATGCCACTGAAGGGAAAAACCTTCTACCCAACATGGGAGGGCATGCCCTAAGACAGCTGCTCAGGTGAAGCCAAAGAAATCGGCGTATCCACTGAGATGCTCCCTGCCTATGCAGCCCTTTGCTGATGGATAATTAATGATTTAATCTGATTCCTGATAGCTGTGTGCCAATTTTCCTTAAAGCAATAGGCCCACTTCTACTCTCTGAGAACGGAGGTACCAGCTATGCTAGGTGACTGACACTCAAGCCTGGAAGCTCCAGCCTTTCAGAGGCAGCTTGGGGAAGCCGATGATAGCTTCCTGGAATTGGGTGTTTCTGGAGGTACAAATACCTCTGACTGTGATTTGGAATGAGGATGAGCTCTGTTAAGTTTCATGGCGTAGTAAAAAACCATGATCTTAACTTTTTTTAACATGTCTTCCCAGAGACTGAAGTGCTGGGTTTTATATAACCTCAGGGGTTACAGCATTTGGACACTCAACAAATATTTGTCGAATTAATAAATACATAAATGAATGAACGAATGAATGAGTGAGCAAATCATCTATGAAAATCTCCAGGCTCACAAGTGCAAAAATCCTGAGAACAACTTCACGTCTGGTGATCAGAAGTGCTCTGACACTTGACTTAATAGCATGCTCTCATTCTGTGACCTTTCCTTTGACAGGGCCTGCTCTCCTAGTTCTTGACTCCACATAGAGAACAGCTGGCCCGGGCGGCGTCTGTGGAGGTGTGGGCCAAGGGCCAGGAGCCCTGTGATCCCGAGGAGGAACAGTCCCTGGCCTCTGAGCTGGGGAAGGATGCGCGTCACAGACTGCTCTTCTATTTACTGTAATATGTAGTGACTTAGGGCCATTGAAGTGGTCCTTTCCTGGGGCTGTCGTTAATGTCAAATTTAATTTGGCCCAGAGGTCTTCCTAAGGGCTTCATGGGGCATGTCATACTCACGGCAGTTCTGTGACATTTCACTTCTGGAAAGCCTGGGCCGCAGATGACAGACCCCTTCATCTTGAATCTCTGAATTCAGAGGAAATGATAAGCACTTTGCCCAACTTCCCCAAGAAGCCTGGCTTTATGCAAAGCAAGCCTAGTGGCCGGCCATTCTAGACTATGTTCTACAAGCTGAAGGGGACACAGGTTCAGGGCCCCTGCATTGTTTTTATTTCAAGACAGAATGGAAGTGTCTCCGTGTGGGCTCAGACAGGCTGTTTCAAAAGCTGCTGCACCTGTCAGGTACTTCCTGACAATAGGCTTTGAACCAGCTATTGTTTGCTTCTAATGGAGCCAGTGTCGCAAGAGGAGGAAGCAGGTGGACAGTGACCAGGCATGCAGAATGCGCCTCCACAGAGACACCCCTGCCTGGGTCACTGCACAGCTATGGTATCACAAAACAGATACTGGAGCTCAAAGGATCCAGGAAACACCCCCAGGATAGCCTCCGTAGTGTACAAAGGCTGGGAGAATATTGACAGAGGGAAAGCCCTGGAACAGCAAAGGGGGGGAGGGTTCTAGTGGGAAGAAAACATGAGCTAAGATTTAGGAAGGAGGGACCAGCCCGGCACAGGGACAGAGGAGGTGTCCCGGCCAAGAAGAGGGAAGAAACAGGCTATGACATTGGATCAGCAGGGTGGGGGCAGGTCCTCCGAAGCATCCAGAGTCAGGCCAGCATTGAACACTCACACCTGGGTGTCCTACAGGCACGTGTCCTCACAGTCCCTAAATCTGCTCGTGCCTGGATTCCTAGTCCTGATTGGTGGCACCCTTGGCCAGTTAGATGCGTATACTAGAGCCACCTTAGATTCCTTCTTTCTCATTCCTGACAGCTAATCAATCATTGATTAGCTTGCTGATTTTGCCTCCTAAAGCTGTCTTAAATGCATCCCTACTGCCACTCCCCTGGTTCAGAACTCATTATCTCTTGCTTAGACCATGGCAATAACATCCTAATTGGTCTCCCTGTTTCCATCCAGAGTCAATAAAGATTTGGAATATGAAAAATGCATGGCTGCTGAGGCTGAAAGTGTCATAGCCATTCCCTAGTTGGGAAAGCCTGCAAGCAACTTGTCTACCATCCACTGAAAACACATGGAAGCTTGTCCCGCACCTAAACTGCCCCCATAGGAGCAGAAATTATAACCCAGACTCTGTTTTGGAAGCAATCCAGCCTGCATTTCCCTCACAGTTTGGAGAGAGCGTGGGGCCTGGTGGGCTGCCTCCTTTGGAAGCCTACTCTAGCACCGGATGTGCATCTGGGTTCCACACATTTGCTTCTGCCCCCTTTTCCTGAGCTCTCCCTCCATGGAATTCAAGATTCAGGCTCCTGGCATGGAGGCAGGAGTGGCCCTGGCCATCTGGTTACTCAGACAGAGTCTCTGCAGGGTGGTGGGCGCCAGGCCCAGGAAGGTCACCAGAAGGACACACAGACCTCCCCCGATAAAGGGCCACTCCCAGAACCAGGTAAGCTCACATTCTAGGGGAGCCTGCTTTCCTCCCTGAATTGCCTGCCTTCCTGCAAGGTGAGGCTGGCAGCCCAGAAGGAATGAGCGCTGTTAACAACCAGATGCAATTTTGCTCTAAAGTTTCTTCCCTCAGAAAAAAAAAAAAAAAAAAAAAAAAATCCTTCTTGCTCTCTGTATCTCCTCATCTCTCCCCAGCAACATTCAAAATCAAATCACAAGTGCGTGCCCTTGGGCCCACCTGAACTTTAACAACCTGATTCCATCATCTCCTTCTAACCCGGAGGAGGTTAGGAAATGACTGTAACCCATGGTGGCGTGAGGTCGGGTTGACTTCTAATCCAGGTGCACGGGGAGTGAAATGGCCTGCTCGTTCGCAGTAAGATGTCATCTGAGGTGGCTTCTCTGCACACGGAGGGAGGCAGAGCACTAGAGGCGGTTTTCTGCATACTCTAGGCCCCTGACATTCATTTTCGCAGGGGCTGTCCGGAGTATTGAAATTGTGGTGATCTCCCCAATCTACTGCTTTCTTCTGGAGAAGCGTGTGTCCCCACAGGCCTTCCTGACAGCTGGGTGACATGATAAATGGGACGTGGCCCACATAGGGTCCACTTCGCACTCACTTCTAAAATTTTCACCTAATTCCTTGGGCAAAAGCAGTGTGTGTGTGTGTGTGTGTGTGTGTGTGTGTGTGCATGTGTGTGTTCAGGAATGGTGCGAGAGGGCCCCCTGGGAGGGGACGGCGCCCCGGAATTGCACTGTGTTCAGGAGGCTCCTTTCCCTTTTGTGGAGATGGAATTACCCCCAAACACAGGTCTAGTCTAAGGGTAAGCTCTTTCCTAAGCTCCCCACAGAACAGATGTGAGTTCCTGAATATTCTTGGAGAGAACAAGACAGCGAGGAAATATATGTGGTCCCCCTCACCCCAAGACCCACTGGCACATCAGTGGGCTGGCTTTCTACGCATGGGGACCCATTCCCACCATGTGGAGCACGCCACAGGCTGACTGGGAGACTGGCCTTCTAGCTCCCAAGGCCTGGCCGTCCTTCGCAGCTACTGAGCTGAACAGCCTGCATTTGGGTAGAACTAGCTTCAAATTCTGACTCAGAAAAAAAAAAAAAAAATTCTGACTCAGTCACCTTCTAACCAGGATCTCGAACCTGCCATTTCTTCCTCTCTGGGTACCAATTTTCCACCTTTATTTTTTTTTTAAGATTTTATTTATTTATTCATGAGAGAGAGAGAGAGAGAGAGAGAGAGAGAGAGAGAGAGAGGCAGAGACACAGGCAGAGGGAGAAGCAGGCTCCATGCAGGGAGCCCAACATGGGACTCGATCCCGGGTCTCCAGGATCACACCTTGGGCTGAAGGCGGCACTAAACCGCTGAGACACCCGGGCTGCCCAATTTTCCACCTTTAAAATGGAATGAATAACAACCTCCTCACACTGAAGACGAGAGAATTAAAGTGATGCGTGTGAACGGTGTGGCAGGTGTACCGAGCAGGTGCTTTGTGAAGCTGTTTCCTCATGTCGCACCGCTGTGGGCCTTGTTCCCCTAGTTCCCAGTGGCTCCTTCGCTGGGGCATCGCCTCATGAAGACAGCAGGTCCTCTCCCCTGTGCTGCAACACCTTCGCGGGGCCCACCGCCTCCACCCCAGCGGGAAGCTAGGCTGGCTTTATTGGTATGCCACCTAGGGTGTCACGTGGGGCCTGTGCTTGGGGTAGGCATCCCAGCTTGGTTTCATGCTTTGCCACTGTAGCCTTAAAATTCTTAAATTCTTAACAAAGGCTTCCCATTTTCATTTGCACTGGGCCCTGCAAATTATGTAGCTGATCCTTTGGGGAGGAAGCCGACCTCTCCCCGGTGAGAGACACCACCCTTCACACTGGCCCCTGGTCAGGTGCCTCTTTCCAAACCAACCCAGTGGAAGGGAGCCCAGGTTTCTTCAGGCTCCATGATAGGTTCTCTCAAATACACTAGGTCATTAATTAGGGTTTACTGATGAGGAGTAGAGGCTTTGTCACATGCCTTGCCTCCAGCCACACAGTTGGTCAATGGTGGGATCAGGTCAGGTGTTCCTGATGCCGAGAGCTGAGCCATCTGACCCTTCAACCATTATAAGTAAACTTCATATTCACCCAGGAGTAACATATGCCAATGCGGGTTGGGAGGGACTAATTCTTTCATAACATATGTTTTGTATAAATCATTTAAAAGCAACTAAGTAAAAAAAAGATCCCAACAGGAAAAACCTACCACATAATTTCTGAAGGGATCTCTCAGAGTAGGTCTCCCGGTCGCAGCCCTTCCCGATGTAATTGGTCTGCAGCTCCGTGGTGATCTGGATGGAGGACACGGCCCCGTCGCACGTCTCCAGGTGGATGCTGGGGAAAAGCGGGACGCTCCCGGAGCCAGGCTGATACTCAATCCTCTTGGTCCAGTCTGAATAAACAAGGAAACGGTTAAAGTCAATCGGGTACGGCCAGTCCTGCTGTAGCTCTTGTTCTGAAAATGTGAATTTGTTCCAGCATAATTGATATATTTGGGGACAATCTGACGATAAGAGGAATTTCACATTTGCCTATTATGCAAGATTTCCTTCCTGAGAAACACTGGGTGAGGGCAGAAAGCGGCACCCAGCTGAGCTGAGCCAGGTAGGAATGTACAAAACACGCCCATGGACACACCTCAAACGTCTAGCAGCCACGCAGGCCACTGAGTGTTGAGGGCCACGTCCACCTGCCCCCACAGTTACAACTTCCCCTCCATTCAGAAGCGCCCCCCTTGTCACAGTTCTGCTCCAGCTGCAGCCCTCCCCCATCCCCTTCTGCAGGCAAACATCAGGGCTCTTCAAGGTGAGGTGCCATAGTCATCGAAGTACTTGTATATTTTCTTAACCACTTAACCTGTGTAAAACGAGGCTAACATGTTTTCTTCCTCTCTTTTCTGTGTGTCACTGATGACATTTTTGAGTGTTACGCCGCTTGCTCCACTTCCCTCATTTTGCCTAGTGGGGTGGTTTTTAGGAATGGGTATGTCCCGCCGTACGACAAGAGGGCATGGTAGTTCCGGGTTCCTTGGGGTCATGAGGTGGGGTGCAGGATTCTTTCTCAAGCGTTCAGGACCGTGACCCACTTAAGTGGAGCCGATGGTCTTATCAATTCTTCTTAGTGGAAAAATAATTTGGAGATGATAAAGTGTTGGAGAGGAACAAAACCGCAACCAAAATGGCACCACACAAAATAGAGCAATCAGCGAAAATAAACACCAACAGGGAGTGTACACATGAATTGACTGGGACAACAACAGCAGCAATTGAAAGGCAGAGGACCTTCCAGGCAACGCTCATGGTGACCGCGCGCAGTGCTTGCTGACAGCAGTGGGCGCACCGCGCTCTGTGAGGACGCGTCTGTGAGGTCTGTGCAGACCTAGCCAGACCCGGGGGGCAGGATCAAGGAATGGGACCTACGGACACCCTTGGCTTATGAACCCCCATGTTTGTCACATAAACCTTGCTAGAAGGTATCCTTTTTGCTGAAGCAGAAATAAAAATCTATGAAATTGCCTGTGAGGAAATCTGGCATTGATGGGTCACTGTTCTTCACAAGCACCCAGTGGGCCCCAGGCTGCCATCTTGAGCGATTCCAGTGGAGGGGCCAGATGCCTTTGTCCACTGAGCAACCATGTGTTCAGGGGTTCCGTGTACGAGGCTCTGCATGGAGCATCGAGGATACAGCAGTGAAGGAGCCAGGAAGGTCCCTGTCTTGCGGAGCTGGTGCGGGGGTGGGGGTGGCTTGGGGGGAGGCCTGTGCTGTCCTGTCTGAGAGAGTGAGTCTCTGAAAGAAAAAGCGGTGACAGAGAGAGGCTCTTTGGATGCAGAGAACTGTCTGAGCTGAGGTCTCAATGTCAAGGATGGGTGTGCGTGGGAAGCCTCAGAGAAGCAGGTTTGAAGCGGATGCCCCAGCAATCTTGGCTTGACTCTGTCTGGTCAGGAAGTTTCTGGGCAGGTTAATGAAGGTCTCCAAGTCTCAGGCACCTCATCAATAAAATAGGGGCCTTACAGTGTTGGGGTGAGGAACGAGGGCCTCGGTGTGTGCATGGCATGCAGTAGGGCCTCGGTTGGTGTTATTCTAGGAGAGGAAGGGAGATGTTCAGTCCAGGGGCACGAGTGTCCTTGCTCTGCAACGCCGCCACGTTCCAGATAGCCACGCCATCTGGGTTTAGGTCTGAATCCCCAAGTCAACCAGCTCCCCTTTTGGGGATTTTCTCAGAGCAGGCCACGAGCAGAGACTGCACGCAGGGTTGTGAGGAGGCTCACCAAGAGCTTACCATGGGAGGATATTTAGATGGGAGGGACTGCATGCGAAAGAGAAGGTACCCAATTGCATGCTTTTCCTCAAAGCCTCCAGCAGCTGTGTCTGGACTAGCCCATCACCTCCTGGAGGATGAGATCCTGGAGCTGCTCTAAGCCATGTTCCAGAGGCCCCAAGTTCAGTAAAGATGAACCACTGGAGGGGGCCAGCAGGGCTTTTGTCAGGTGCATCTGCAGGTCAGAGCTGTAAGCAGCAGTCCACACTCAGCCAGCCCTGGGTCTCAGGGACAACGTTTCCTGCCTCTGAACGCTCGATGGTGTTGTTTCTTCTATACAGAGCTCCCTTTCTATGCCCTTCTGCGCAACCTTTCCGAATTTCTCTGGTCTGGGGAGATATGCTCACCTGTGCTCCGCAGCATCCTCCACATCAGACACAGCACTAGACTCTAAGCTTCATGGTACTCTGAATCCCCATCACGCTCTGTGCCCAGTGCCTGGCACAGAGTAGATGCTCACCCGATATTGGTAAAAAATGTGAATGAATTCTGCAGGATTCATTGGTATGCTTGCCTCCCCCCAGTAACTGGGAGCTGCTAAACGGCAGGGATTGTGATGTTTATTTTTGATCCGTCTACACTGAGGTCAGAGTGTAGGGAGTATTTGCCAGGTGGATCTGGGGAGCCTCAGTCACCTAACCCGGCTGCTGCCATGGCTGCCTTTCCTGAGCCACAGACAGAACTTGTGGCCTCTTTGCCCCTCTTTGGTACTGCCCCCGTCTGCCCCGACCTGCAGTCCGGCCATCCCCACAGCAGCCCATAACACGTTGGGTTCTTTTTGTTCTCAGCAAGGCAGCTAGTCTAGAGCTGCTGATGAAGGGAATCTACTTCCTGATGCTAAGAAAGGGCACCAAGGAGGAGGTCTCTTACCCTTCCTTCCTTGCCTCACCCCTCTTTCCCTGGATTTTCCCTTCTTCAAAGATGCAGATAGGAAAATGGAGAAAGTGTTTTTGTGTAGAGGGCCATGGGGTGAGCCCTGTGGCAGCAGCTCTTGTTTTTTTTTGCCACTTCTGCTGGTGCAAGGTCTTCTCACATCACCTCCTTCTGGAAGCTTCTTCATTGAAGAAGCCCAAGCCATCTGTGGTATTGATTCCCTCTCTTCTCTGGGGGCTGTGGGTGTCTAGATATTTTGGTGGTTATCTTTGATGAGAGATTCCACCTAAAATCATTCCTAGAAGGAGTGCAAATAAAGAAGCAAATGGGGGATCTCTGGGTGGCTCAGTGGTTGGCTCCTACCTTTGGCCCAGGGTGTGATCCTGGAGACCCGGGATCAAGTCCCACATCAGGCTCCCTGCATGGAGCCTGCCTCTCTCTCTGCCTGTGTCTCTGCCTCTCTCTCTCTCATGAATAAATAAATAAAAAATAAAATTAAATTTTAAAAAAAGAAGCAAATGAATAATGAAGGGAAGGTCAGCGGAGGTACAGGCCTAGGAGAGATTTTATTTCTCTCACCACCTCCAGGCTGGGGGTGCGGGTAGGGGGCAAGGGCCTCTTTGGGAAGAAATCAGGTACGAAATAGCTCTGGAAACATCACATCTGCAGTGGCTTTGCTGACCTCTCAAGGCTCGCTTTTGAGGGTTTGCAAGGAACAGGCAAAAATTGCAACCACATAGTAAAAGAAATCGATGAAGCTTTCTGAGTGTAGTGTCCTTGAGAGAGTGGGAAGCTCACACAAACATCATTCGTTTTCCAAGAAAGAGTCTGAGATGGGGATCAAGAGAGCAAAAGGCAAGTCATCAGATTCAGCCTTTGTCACATGAAATGTCTATTCATCCTCAACTCCTGGAGGTAAGATAGCAATATGGGTGAAAGTCTGGCCTCTAAACTCAGTGTGTGTGAGTTCAACTCCCACCTCTACCATTTCCTGCATAACTTAGGGCAAATCATTTACCCTCCCTGAGTCTCAGTTTCCTCTTATCTAAACATGGTGTCTACCGCCCAGGATTTGTGGGGGGAGGAGGATTAAATGCAGACTCATTTTAGTGCCAAACACAAAGATTATGTGTCAATAGATATATTATGGCTGACTTACCATTTATTCAATAGTACTTACTGCAGGAAAAAAAGGATATACAATTACTAAGCATCTTTAAGGTGTAGGCACTTATACATCTATCTTTTTTTTTTGCTTGATCCTCCCAGGAATCCAATAGTTATTATCTTAATTGTGCAGATGACAAAGCCATGGTTGACAGTTGGCGTGCCTTGCCCAAGGCCATGCAGATCTTTTACAATAGCTCTGCCATGGTTCTGAGGATTTGCCAGGATGGAGGACAAGTGCAATTTTTACAGATTATTTTTGAATGTTCAATTTATACTGATATATATAAACATAAATATATACATATATACATAAATATGTAAAAGTGATCATCTCTGATGTTGGCAGAGAATCAAGGAGTGTTGTCAGTTTCATCACTGCCTGACCTTGAGGGCAGCTGGTGGGGGCACTGGGGTTGCTTTGACCCTGGAGACTGCAGAGGACTATACTTGAATCACATCTCCCCCAGATGTGGGTGATGTGACCTCTGCAAAGCTGAATGAGTCATCTCTGAGCCTCCACAACCTCACCTGCAGATCTGAATTAGTTATACCTTCTCATGGCCTTGTCATGAGCGTTGAAGGTTAAGGGCTCAACATGGTGACCTTCCTGTTGAAGCCTCACAAAAGGAATGTCCCGCGCTCTGGTTCACAAGCTTCCTCAACTTCTCTGAGCTTTCCTGCTTAGAAACAAAATCTTTCCAGTTTATAAAGGACTTGGAGACTAGTTTATGAATTGTGGTTCAATTTTTTTTCTTAAGAGAAAGGAAGCAGACTACCTCTTGTTTTGATAAATCGGGCTCAACTGCCTTGTAGGTATTCCTGGAAAAGTGAACAGTGAATGCCTTTAGGAATTAAACTCCTTCTTCCTTGGTTAAGGAATTAGAAACATGATGATTTTATTAGAATTCCTGCTAAATTTGGGGGAACACATGCTTTCTTATTGGGAGAATATTAACCACTTGGAACTCTCAAGTGGTTGAGAGTTGTCTGGAGTTGGAAAAAAGCAAATCTGAGAGTTCTGGAAAGCAGAG